CGACCACGTGGATGACAGCCCAATGCATAACCACTGTACCACCACCAGGGCTCCTCCTTTCAGTCCTGAGTGGTACCAATGGTTAGTGCACTTGGAGGTGCCAGTCCACCCAGAGGTACCCTGGGAGAAAGGCCCGGTGGCGTACTTCAGAAAACAGCAGCCACCGAAGGCGTTGGAGCACAGTTCTTCCCACAGAGTCAGCGCCACGGTAGGTGCTTGCGCAGGACTCTGTGCCCTCCGGACACAGAAGCTCTCCTGTTCTCTCAGCCAGCTTCTAAAGCTAGAAGCCATGGCCATTGTAGGAACTGCCCCTGTGGGTTTCCGAGACTAAGTCTGACAGGAGCCGACAGCCTCGTCTTCCTCCCTCAGGGGAGGAGGGTTTGAACCGCTGACCCTGTGATTAGCAGCTCAATGAGTCTCCTTCTCTGCTAGGGGTCTAAGGAGCCTGCACGTGCTCACGGGGTGCTCAGTGCGAGTCAGCCGGTTTTCTCACCAAGTCCAAGGTTCTGGTAGTGAAGAGAGATGCTCAGAGATGACGGCCCCGTGGCCCCTTCTGCAGCACGGAGGCCGGGGACCGTAACATCAGGAGGGCCCTGCCAGCGCTCCTTCCCCACGGCCTCTTCCCATACCAGACCTCACAGTATCCTTAGCAATGCTTATTATCAAGTTCCATCACAGAATCCTGTGATCAATGTCATTGTAAATTGCTGACATGTAAAATCAGGAGGTTTCTGAAAGGTCATGGAAGAAATTCCGTTATCTTAATTTCATTTTCTCACAAACGTTTTAGATTGCATGCATTCTAACACATCTTTCTACATTGAATTATATATAACATTGGTTACGTGATTACTTTTAAAATTAGTAATTAGTTTAAAAGTTAAATTCTTACTACTGATAAATTATTTTGAAAATACCTCTCCTTTTCCTTTAATTGCAACTTGAGTCCCCAAGGAGTTTTTTGATTCAAGTTCACAAGTATTACTTGCCAGATACTGTACCCAAAATATCAGAAGACTTGGGGGAAAGTGAAAACTAAAACCAGTGACTCTCAAAGCATGGGCAGCAGTGGGAATGGCAGCTCACACTGGTAGCAGATGAAACCACGTGACCCAAGCACCTTTGTCTTTGGGTTCATGACGGCCGCTCTGGCCGCAGGACCCGAAAAGGTTAAAAAAATAAGTGAGCAGAATTTTAGCCTCGTGAGTCTATATTGATACATGTAAGCTGGGCTTCTGGAAGACATTTTTTATTGTTGAGCTTTTCAACACGTTGCTGTCACCCCCTTTGACTGTCACCAGTGTGGCCCACACCCCCACATTGCCCTGACAGCACTGGCAGGACGTGCCAGGGTCAAGGATGCTGGCAGCAAGGGACCAAGTGGGAAGGATGCTACGGGGAGTCTGCGTGGCAGGCAGGTCCTTGACGTAAGGCGGGAGGGGTCTCTGCCCCTTGGAGGCCTGTGTCCCTGGTCCCTGGACCAGTCTCGACAAACAGTGTTGGGAGAGGATTGTTGCCTTAATCCGTGTACATGCTCTGGTCTAGCCGGATTTGTAAGGTAGAATTGGGGTCATGATAGTTGGGGAGGTGGGGAAGCATTAAAGAACTAGAACAGAGTTATATGTTTCATCGGTGCTATACCACACCCTGACTGGCTCATCTCCTCCCTGCCCCCCTTCTGTAAGAGGATGTCCAATTGTCTACAGATGGGCTTTGGGTTCCCACTCGGTACTCCCCCTCATTCACATCAATATGATAGTTTGTTCTGGGTCTTTGATGCCTGATACCTGATCCCATCGACACCTCGTGATCACGCAGGCTGGTGTGCTGCTTCCATGTGGGCTTTGTTGCTTCCCAACTAGATGGCCGCTTGTTTATCTTCAAGCCTTTTAGACCCCAGACACTATATCTTCTGATAGCCGGGCACCATCAGCTTTCTTCACCACATTTGCATATGCACCCATGTTGTCTTCAGCGATCGTGTCAGGAAGGTGAGCATCACAGAATACCGGGTTAGTAGAACAAAGTGGTTTTGTGTTGAGGGAGGACTTGAGTAGAGGCCCAATATCTGTCCGCTACCTTATTATTTAACATATATGTGCATAGAATCATGTCCCTATTGTTATGTATAAATATATTTACCTATGCATGTGCCTGTATTGAGACCTCTGTCCATGTCCTTTGCCCCTCCTAGTTCTTTCCTCTAGTTCCTTTTACTTTCCTCCTGCCCCACTATCATGTTCGACCTTCATTCCCTTTTGTGTCTCATAAGATAAAACAGTCCATGCAGACTGCACTCTGCACAGAGACTCTCCTTATATCATCAGGCCCGTGACGTGAGAAAGGTATTGCATCCCACCCTGGTCACTTTACAACTGACTGGCCAATCACATCAGATCACCTCTCGGACGGGGGGTTGCATCAGTACCTAACACCAAATGACATCATCACGTAACTGCCAGTACACTGAGAATCAAAGCCCAGCCAAGTTGACACATCTTTGGGGGGACCCTATTCAAACCATGACAAGTACCGTCTGCCTGGTGTGCGATGAAGAACGAGGGTTTGAGGGAGGCCCTGGGTTTGTTCTCTGGGCCCCGCAGGATAGGCGGGAGTCGGGGGTCAGGGCTCAGATGGCTGCTGGCCCGTGGTGGCATCTCCAGCCAGATCTCCTGCTGCCGTTCAGCGCGGCTGGTTCATGTGTTTGATTTGAAGGGCCAGCAGGCTTGACGCGAACACTGGCTGTATCCGTGGCCTCGGTTCCCTCAGCTGGCCAGACTGATTTGATGAATGGGTTAATACATTTCTCTGAGGCACCTGGACGCATTGCTGTCTGGTGAATGGCCTTTGAGTTGACTTCCAGTTCACGGTGACCCCAAAGGATGTGCAGAATAGCAGAACTGGCCCAGGTGGGGTTTAGGAAGCCGATCCCAGGCGTGACTTCTGAGGCACCTCTTTATCTCACAGAGTCTCAGACGTGTGTGTAACATGAAACAAACAATGGCTGAGAGACGC